TGCAGAGGTTTGTTGTGCTCCTAATAGGGGAGAGATGTTGAGAGTTGTACGAGATGGTCCAGTGTGCTGAGACCTTTTCAGACTCGTGCATTGTACTGGAATTGTCACTTCACCATTTGTCTCAGATGAGGAGTAGGACTCAGGTTATTGTCTCTTTCTCTGATTCAGGCTAAGCTTGTGCACCATTCTTATTCTCTTTTACCTCAGTATTATTGTAGGTACATGGCACCAAACCCTTGCCTTTTCCTGTGCTTTTCTTTGAGATTTTTGGTCATCCTGGATCTAAACAGTGAGATCAGCTGTAAATTATTTGGGAGAGAGACTGGAAGCTTATTTTGTGGGTGTACACAACACAGAACCATTGGAGATCCAGCCGATAACTTTTCTGTCTGTCAGCCAAGTGCCTTTTCCACTCTGGGAGTTCTTCCAAGTTATTTCTGAGCCTCCAATTGAGGGTAACTGGATGTTACCACCATGGCTGATGGCAGATGGGAGGGTTGGTGACACTGTGCTGTTCCTTGTGTTTCCAGGCTGAGCTGCACACGGGCACCCTGCCACAGATCCAGAGCACAGCACTTCGAGGTGAGAAGCTCCATCGCATCTTCCACTATGTCCTGGATAACCTGGTCAATGTGATGAATGGGTACTGCCTGCCAGAGCCCTACTTCAGCAACAAGGTACCACTTACTTCCTGTTCAGAGTGAGAGCACAAATATTCTTTCAGCTCAGGGTAGTTGCACCCAGAGGACCACGAGTCAGGGCAGTGCTACCTTTCTAGTGCCAGCTCAATTCAGTTTCCTTCCTTAGACTGACTTATAGCCAGTCCCAGCAAAGGGTAAGATGGGAGAGTCCCATCTGTGGCACCCAAAACAAAGGAAAAGGAGTTGAGCTTGACCTTCACTGCATGTGCCTGCAGCCTTGTACATGGGAGCTGCGTGCATGGGCAGCTGTGATAGAGGTCAGGAGGGAGGAGGAGAGAAGGTGGACAAACCTGAGGCAGCTGTTGGCTTAAGGCAGCACAGCAGCTTTGTCATCTATCCAATTCTCTCTCTTAGTCCCTGGACAAGCTGTGTCATAAAACAGCATTGAAGAAGACCTCAGTGAAAAGCCTTGCTTGCTTCTTACTCCTTTCTTCATCCAAGTCTTTACACTGACTTGTCTCTCTCTAGGTGAAAGGCTGGGTTGAGCGACTGATGAAGACATTGAGAGATCCATCTTTGCCTCTGCTGGAACTTCAGGACATCATGACCAGTGTTTCTGGACGGATCCCACCCAATGTAGAGAAGTCCATCAAGAAGGAGATGGCCCAGTATGCCAGCAACATCACATCAGTCCTTTGCCAGTTTCCCAGCCAACAGGTAATCAACCACATTTACATACAGGAATAAAAATTGGTTTGCATTGGGGCAGGGAGAGAAAGTCCCTTTAAATTATCTGGAGGTTAGTTGGACCTGAAAGGTACATTTGGATATGGGATCTTCATAGTGAAGGATACTTACCTATAATACTTGAGCTTGAAGCCTTGCCTCATACGTTTGCTGAAGGGTATATGTTGCCTCCTCAGTACAGCTTTAAACACAGTTTGGAAGCAGTTTAATCACATTAGTGGCCTTGTGGGCATTTATTTGCTTTTTGCCTGGTACATATGCTGCAGTGCAATTTGTAGCATGTAGAGTGATTGCAATTAAGGGAGGTGTGATCAGGCAGTGAGAGGTTGGAGGATGATTTCTCCAGGATATGATACTGTGCATTCATTTTTGTGTCATTGTCAGATCATTAACTTCCACAGCAGTTTAAGGCTTTGGCTTTTGCTGGAGTCTGCTTGAGCTCTGCTCTGCCTGGAGGTTCTCAGCTTCTCTGCTTGTTGCTCAGACAGATTGTCCCATCTGGGCCTGTGGCTGTCATGCAGTTGGTCTCTTTCAGATTGCCAACATCCTGGACAGCCACGCAGCCACCCTCAACCGCAAGTCAGAGCGTGAGGTCTTCTTCATGAACACCCAGAGCATTGTGCAGCTCGTACAGAGGTGAGCCATGGTCAGGGGTGCTCCTCAACCTTTTTGTTTTGTTTTCTGCTGCTTGAAAGACCTGAGCTTGCGTGTCTTTACTCAAATGGTTTTCTCAACACTCAGCATCTAAATCACAAGGAATAAGTCTGTGTAATTCCCTCAGGGAGGTAAACGGGGAAGGGGCCTTTGTATGTGAAGCACACATACAGATCCTTCTTCTTCCCTTTGCCATATGAAAGTAGAATTTAGCTTCTGATGACATCTTTGGCCCTTTCACCAAGCTGCTGGTGTGTCTTATGCCTTTGAGTGTCTAGAATTTTGAGTATTCTTAGAAGGAAAAGAACATTTTGATGCAACCCCACAACAGTAATGGTGGGGGTTATGTATTCACATAATTGGTTTTCAGAACCAGTTATACTCCTTTCCATAAGTTTATTCTGCCACTCGTGGTGTTACTCACTTGCAGGTCTTTGGAAGCAGGGCTGTGCCAGTCTCACTCAGTGCTAGGTTTGACTTTGCCTCTGCAGGTACAGGAGTGGCATTCGGGGTCACATGAAAGCAGTGGTGATGGATCTGCTCCGCCAGTACCTGAAGGTGGAGACTCAGTTTCAGCATGGTGAGTCTCTAAGCACATCAAGCATTTGATTTCTGAAAGAATCACATTTGGTCCCAGAAGGTCCACATGGACCCCCTGGAAGAAAGGTCACTCTGGTTTTATGGGGAGGCAAAGCTACACAGGTTTCCTGGTAAGGTCTGTCAGTCAGGTTGTGTTTCTTGTAGAGGAGCCTATGTCCAGTTTGAGTTTTTGTGGTAAGAATGCTTATGACCAGCAAATTACAAAGTCTACCCTAGAGCTATCTCTTCTGCTGGTTTCCCCATGTTGGTATATCCATCATCTTTTACATCCCACATCATCTTACCCACAGTTTGCATGTCATAACATGGCTGGTCTCTGTTCAGTGTAGCAATGCTGTATATTTTCAAAAGGAAAGCTCCTATAAGAGTTAAGGATCCTCTAAATGAGGACTTTTCTATGAGCAGGAGTATAAAAACAGACTCACTGAATTATGAGTTTCTTTCTGTTGCCATTTCTAGAGACTCAGCCAGTCCAGATGGTCTCTGCTGGTTCTAGATCAGAGATGGAACAGTCTTCTGTGCAGTCCCTCACTGACTGTCAGCTGTGGCCCACCACTAGAGAGTTCCCCAACTTGAGTATTCCACATGTAGAGTCTTCATATTAGAAACTTGATCTTTATCTCCTGATTTCTGAGCATCTGCCAAAAATTAGAATGAGAAAAACTGTTTAAATTCACCACGCTGTTTAGTTCTATCTTGCCTATTTATTAAGTTCTATAGTAAGAAAATCAAGTGCAGTAAAAAAATCACTGAGTGTGAGTAGCACCTGCTCTAAACCACCAGGAAGCTGCTGTTCATAAGAGCAAACCTCAGCCTGAAACAGAGAATTGAAATCCCTGTGTTGTGCTGCTGTATCCAGGCACAAGGTGGCAATGGAGCACTAGCTAATTTTGAGGCTTGAGCTCTTGCAGGTAGTTCAGATTCCACTCTTCTTTTGTCCTGCTCCAGTACCTGCACCAGCCTAGTGGTACTGCTGATCCATTTCCACTTCAACTTGCTGGTACTAGAGGACAGTGCAAGTCTTTTTCCTGTTATTTTATTTTGGTTGTTATAAGAATGGAAGACTGAGCTCACCATCCCTCTCCTTGTATTGCTCACAGAGGAGTTATTTGGTGTTGGAACTGTTCTAATAAGAGTGGGATGTTTAAATTGATGTTTGCAGTTGAGGGAGGGGAGGTGGTGGTGATAGGAATGCTTCCTTCCCAGAATGGGTTGAGTGGACCATGCAGAGTAGATTCTCTGAACATACACATAGAAAAATAAAGACATGTTTGATAACTTGTATTCCTTGACACAGAGGTGTGGAGACTGGTAAAAAATGTGCACTTCTGGTTGCAGGTCACTATGACAAGTGTGTCTTTACCCTTCGAGAAGAGAATAAAAGTGACATGAATGCTGTGCTGAACTACATCTTCTCACATGCTCAGGTCACCAAGAAGAACCTGCTCGTCACAATGCTCATTGTAAGTTGTCTTTTGGTGCTCTAGAGATTTGCTGCTTCTTGTAGTTGTATGTTTGATGCTTTGAAAGGTGCTGAGTTGCCAGCTCTCATCCTTAAAGGTGCAAGCAGGAGTGTGGCATTTCTTCATGTGTTCTTAGGACATGTGAGTCATGGATTAGAGGGGACCCAGAAGATACTGTGCAGCTTGGTGTCTGTGCACCTTCTGGTTCAGGATTGTCCTGCACTGATTGTCTGCCAGAGTGCAATGAAGGCTAATTATGCAAGTGATCTGTGAGAATCTGTGGTGAGATAGGAATAAAGACTTAACTCTTACACTGGGAGGATGCTAGAGGTGAACTTTCAGACACTGGGCTGTGACTTTAATCTTGGTTTAGTTCACTTCCTCACCTTCAGGTGTCTCAGAGCTGCTTCTCATGGTACTCAAACTGGAGTTGCTTGGAAAGCAAGGCAGTGTGCCACCAGCACAAAAGCAGATGATTTTTTTTCAACATTTTCATGGTCCTTCATTACTAATGAGAGTGGCTTCCTGGTAGTGAATGGCATTAGCCAGCCCATGTGGAGGCACTTGAGGGGTTTCACGTGTTCTTCCCTGGTGAGACATCATTTGGTCTGACAGGTTTGGCAGTGGCTCCCTTAGCTTCTTCCTGGTTATACTCTCAGAAAGCCTCATCTCACATCTGCAGTGGTGTTTTCAGACCAGCTGTACTCTGGGCTGTGTGGTGGAGTCTGGCGAGGACTTAATATCTCAGCACAAAGCTACAAAGCTTGTCACTCCATATCAGGCCTCAGAGCCTTCAGGTGGTGCACAACTCTCCAGAGGGCTTGCAGAGGGATGGAGAATCTCCTGGGGTTGGAATTTCTCTTGGACAGGCATAGATTCCACCCTATCTAAAAAAAAAAAAGAAATCCTCACGCCAGGACCTGCCATCACCTTCTCATGTTCTCCTGGCTTGTTATTCCATGAAAAATCTCAGTTCTCATTAACTTCAGTCCCACTCTGATGGGTAAAACTCACAGTAAATTACGTTCCCAGGAAAAATAATTAAAAACCAGCAATTGAGTCCTGTCTCTTCTTTCCCCCTTTCCTAAAAAGCCTCAAAAAGTTCTTGTCCCACCCAATGCTTTGGAGCAGAGTGAATGCCCATCTTCTTCAGGGCAGGATGAATTCTGCTACAGCATGATTTTCAACAGACTAGAGTTAGGTATCCTGGTTTTTAAGAGGCTAATTACAATACTACCTCTCCCCTGTTCCTTTTTGGTTTAATTTTACAAACATAATGTGGTGTGTTACTGCCAAAAATACATCTGAAGTATCCATCCACAAAATAACTCTCAAAAGCAGAAAAAAGGATCATAATTGTCCTAGGCTAAGGCTGGGTTTCTTAAATTCTGATTTGTAAGGTATAAGGACCCTGGCATTCTTTCTTCCTGGCTCTCCTGTTTTTTTTCCCCCTTCCCTTTTTGGTGTGTGGTGTGATTGTAAGTAACGCTTGCCTTAAGAATCTCATTATTTGAACACGGAGCCATATTTCCTCTGAGAATTCTGGAGTAGCTTTGAGCTGGGGCTGTTCATTTCTCAAGTAATCATGCTGGTGTGATGGAGAGAGAAAATGGCAGCTGTTCGCAGCTCAGGCCTTCAATTTTCTTCAGAGTCCAGTCACTCAAGTGTGTAATTACACGGGGGTGCCGGGGAGGCGTTAGGCCTTGTCAGAGAGCTGGTTTGAGGCTTTGCTCGCTGCCTTTGCCAATCAGTGCAGGCAAAAGCCAGCGCGGCGCCCGCTACCTGCTTTATTTTGTTGTTGTCATCCTGATTATTTCTTGCTAAAATGGGACTGAAAGTTTTTTTGTCTAGTTTTTGGCCTCTGTGCAAGCCGTGGCGTGGAGGCAGAGCCTGGCTGTGTCCTCAGGTTGGGCCGCAGAGCAGCGGCCTGGCTGTGCTGGGAGAGGGGACACAGGGGAATGTCAGAGTTCCCCTTTACCTTCCCAGAACCCAGCATGGGGGGGTGGGAAGGGACCTCTGGGGATCTTCTGGTCCAACCCCCCTGCTCCAGCAGCTCACCCACAGCAGGGTGCCCAGGGTCACAGCCAGGAGGGTTTGGGATCTCTCCAGAGCAGGAGCCTCCACAGCA